ATTTCAATAGAATACAATTAAGCAATTGGTCCAGTTAATGAAAGTTAATCAGCAAGAAATGGTCTGATACCTGAAACATTTTTATTACAAGAGATGCGTACCTACTTATGTGAGTAATAAGTCATCTGTCTGAGACTTTGGTGGAAATTAGCTAATCACAAAGACATATTACTGTGCGGGGTGTAAGAATAAAAAGGGCAAATTTAATAGATTGGGAATGAAGGAAGAGAAACAATGTGTCAACATAAGAAAAGCAAGCTATACACTGTGATAGGATGATAAGTTCAGATAAGATGGAGGTTCTTATCTGAACTACATTTCCCAGAAGTCTGTAGGGAATTACCTGCCTTCCTCAGTCACTAATTGGTCAGCTGACAGTTTAAAAATAAGGTTTTTACAGTATGTGCTATATGGGGACAGAGGGCAGATCATCTGATATGCAATAACAGATGAGATACAATAACCGGGGCAGGAGCAAGAAGGAATATGTGTCCTGAGCAACTGTGATAGTGGAGTTTTGGAAGAGTCTCAGAGATAGACTTTGTTGACAGACTTTGGTGTCTGTAAGCCTCTTAGCTGCCTGGCTTTGCTATCGAGAGTGAACTGATGAGGTCTAGTATGGACTTCTCACTGGACTCTTGTTTAAGATTGCAAATAAAAGAGCTCTCGATTACCTTATTGTTTGTCTATTTTACCTTGACCTTCCTTTCAACATGACTGTTTATGACACCTACAGTAGTGCTGCGCTTCTTTTTCTGCTTGGCCCAAATAAACACCTGGAAAAGCAAAGACCTACAGTAGTTCTTGTATACTTACTGTATTTGTTTTAATTTCAAATCAAAATAAAATACTTTTATCAAAACAAACAATGTTCAAAGAACATTTTGATGCTGCGGTCCCTGAGATCTCAAGCTGAGCTTCAAATGCAGAAGAGTCTCGGGAGTCTTTGGGAAGGCTTAATGAGGGATGATGAAGAAATAGTGCAGGATGATTGAAAATGGAGCCGGAAAAAAGCTGCCTTGTTGCCGAGGAGAGGCTGGCTTGAATATAACTGTTAGAATTAATATTATGCCAGGAAAAAAGCTGCCTTGATATAGTAGAGAGACTGTCCTGGCTTGAAAACAGCTGTGAGAATTGGAAAGGCAGGCAAAGCTGTCAGATTCATGCAAAGGCTCCCAGCAGAATGAGACAGAAACGACAGCGGAGAAGGCTGGGCAACTGTAGCTTTGGAGGAGACAGGGAAAAGGAATAAGGGTGGAAAAATTGAGCTGAAAAAAACAGTGAGGACTGAATGGCCCCACTGATCAGTACTTGTGAATCTAGAATAAAATAAGACGTTCGTCAGATGAGCATTTCAGTATTGAAGAGCTCAGCACTGAGTGCTCTAGTCAGTGTCAGAGCACTGAATAAGCAGGGGGGGAAAAGCTTTAGATAGTCTGCTTAATTCTCTTGATTTTGGGATGGTCCACCAGATTGAAAGATTAATGGTATGTGGAATGTGTGTCCTGAACGAGTTCGCACACAGTGGGAAGGAGGCTGAGAACACCTGCGAATGCACTGGTTGCCCAAGGCAACATCGAGATGCGAGCTGCTCCCAGCCTGGGTGTAAGAAGAATCATACATCCTTGCAAGCCAGCAGTCACTTGATATGACTCCACTGTTTCTTTCCAGAATGAGATAAATCTTTTGTTTTTTGCTGTAGGATCTTCTGGTACACTTGCCAGTTCCAATTTAGGGCCCATTTGTAGTTCAGTGCTCTAATGCGCTGTCTAAAAGAAAGTGGTTTTCTAACACTTGTGACTTCCAAAATACAAAACTAATTAGAGAAGATTACTGTTCAAAAGATGAATAATATATTTTAAATTGCTAAGTGCTTGTGTTCTGAATAGTCAAATTAACAACCATAGATGTATAGACCTGTGTTTTTTTTTATTTGTGTGTAGCAATAACCTAAGTATGCAAAAGGCACAGGGAAAAAGCCTGTTAACAGTCAACATCTTGATTTACTGGGGTCTGTTTTAGGATTTACGAAACTAAGTCTTAGTCTTGGATAAGTGGTTAAGAAGACCGATGACCATGTGACCATGAACTCACAGAAACACACCCTTTTTAAAGTCACATATTTCTCATGATCCATCACAAGCCAATAAGGATCTTTTCTGGTTAGTGACCTTGTTTTTTCCTCATTGGCTACTTGCTGATACACATTGCTACCAGTAATGACATAATCTGCCTACTCAGTTTCCTATTCCAGTGTCCAGGCCAAATTTTCCCCCTTGGCCCTTACCGTGGCCTCCGTTGTTCCCGTGTATGATTGGCTTGCACTTGTCCTGCGATGGACTGGTGCCCCGTCAAAGGTCAAAGGTGTACCCTGCCTTGTGCTCATTGCTTGCTGGGTATGCTCCAGCTTCACAGCGACCCTCACCAGGAAAAGCAGAAGTGAAAATGGATGAATGGATGGATTCCTCATCACATAATTTAAATAGATGTAAAAACAGTATATCCATTATATACAGAGAACATGGTTTAAATGAAAACAAGTTGTATGTGCTGTATGCAATGGAAAAAATGTTTCTATCTTAAATTTGTTTAAAATCATATTCTAGTGGCAATAGAACAGCTACTACAATTTAATGTTTTAGGTGTAGTTTAATTCAAACTCAATTTTCAAAACAAAACTAAAAACTTTACTTTAATATTTAGAGGTTTCTATGTGTATTGTTTTATTTTTTACAAAAAATAAAACTGAGAAAGCATTGGGCCAACACCTGCCTCAAACAAGCCTGGAAATCAGAGAGGTACTGTATCTTGACTGATTAATAATTCCTCCAGGCTAATGCAGTCCGTATTCACAAGGTGCTTTGTGCCTTAACTGGAACTTTGACACAGTAGTTTAATTTGTTTATACTAGACATTCAGGTAACTGTTGTAGAAAGGTCAGATGATTGTACTTATTTTTTTAGCTGTAGCTCTTCTTCGAAGACTTCATTTGAAAATATGAGAATGGGTTTTCAGCAAGAGATTGGGAGAATAATTGGGAGCACTGACTACTAGTATACAGTCTGTGAGCATACCTCTGTGGTGTTTAAATGGAGACTCTATCAAGGATGTTCTTGGAAAGCAGCATTCTGTGTGGAAATAAAAAAAATATCTTGCATGCATTTATTTCTACTTAAAAAAGTCTATAATTCCATTCTTGTGTTTTCACATTAAAAAAATATTATGTTAGGTGATGCACTCTGACTGTAGAGCACAAATCTCCACTCAGGTATGATTCTTTAGACAACCAGTGAAGTTAGATGTACTTCCAATTTGACCCTATCTCAATAATATCATTTATTTTAATAAAGTGTTTCCTGAAGTTTTATTAGAGGTAATTTGAATGTTGTTTATAATTACAGAAATTGTGTACTATATATACAATATGCTATGCTTACCTAGATTAGTTCTAAAACTTTTATTAAAAGTGATTCTACAGGTAGAGACGTGTTTTGACATATTGGGTCTGTTAGCATGTGCCATCATAGACAGGTTGGTGTCATGATTCACCTTTAAATATTAACTTTTTGGTTTACATTTTTAAAAGATGTTTTAGTCATGTCTGACTCGATGTACAGGTAGTCGTTTGCTGTTGTCTTAGTCCTGAAATTAAGCAATACATCTAAGCATCACTTCTAAAGGATTCAGTTGCATATACAGTACATCTGGCAGTAAAACTATCTGTTTCATTTGTGAGGCAACAGTTGTTAAGTTACGTAAGAATGTTTCAGCAGCATATGGTCAATAAGAAGCCCCACCAACAGTCGTCTTAAGTATCACCAATGTTTTGAATGTCATGTAAGGCGATACTACCATCAGTAATTACTAACTCATGGACATAGCATTGCACAGGGTCAGTTTATGAATAATTAATGCAAATTGACGCATAGCTTCATCATTAATTTATTAATACACTAGAAGCAACATATTGATATTGTATTCTGCTTTAAACTGTTGGTAGGTGATGCACACAAGTATCAGTTTTCAAGTCTGTTAAGTCAGTTGTGTTAAGTTTGTGCTGTTTATGGAAATTTCAATTAAACATTTCTTAATGTGTTTTAATAGTGACATTGATTACAGTACCTTTAAATTATAGTAGTTCAAGTAGGTAGCTGTGTCAGCATGCATAGGCAGAATACACTCTGCATTAATCTATGCAATCTATGCACTCTGCATTAAACGATGTCTGCTTAGAGAAAGTAAAAGCACAAAACAGATAATAATGTACAGTATTTCACTCCGGGTGAGCTGTATAGCAGAGCTTTTTTTATTTTTAAAATTCTCCATTCTTTATTTTTTGCAAAGAGTTAGGTTAATGTGTTCTGAAGCATTGAAATAGCAACAAAGGTTTATGAAAAAATATTTGAATGCAGAATCCTATATGTGAATTTCCAGTAAGTAATCAGTTGCCACAAATGAACAAACTAAACAAATAAGATAAACTCAGTTTTCTTCAAATTATATATAAGTTAAAATAAAGCTTTTTCTTAAAGTTCTGAAGGCATAGGGTAATTATGCTAGATTTTCAATTTAATGCATTGTACTATTGATTTCTTACATTTTGAATATGTGTGTTTTTGTTGAAAGGAGCAGACTATATATAGTTTTTGTGTTGCTAAAGTTCATTAACTGTGTTTGAAATGAGTATTTCTCACTCCTTGATGGTGTTATTTGTTAACAAAGTCTGTTTCTTATTCATTCAACATCACATGCCAACAAAAAAATCATTAAGAATGTATAATACACACTTACAAAATCCTAGTACATTGTTGACAGTAATGAAAAACAGTTTATTTGTGCATGCAATTCTGCTTTCTTATTTCTTAAATTTTCCTATTACCTTTAATACCAATAGTTATCTTTCTGCATCACCTTTCAAGCCTTATGAAACAATTTCATGCTTTTCTTTTCTTCCATCATTCCAATGTGCTTTCTGCTGATGACACTAACTTTGACTCCAGATTGGCAGTATGAGGGTAAGATGGTAAATCTTTCCTTTTCTAACATTTTCTTTTCTACATTTATATTAACTGTATTGCTCTACTAACCCTACCATTCATTCAGCTCTTATTATTTGTGTTTTTACTGTACTTTGAACAGTTGTTGTAAATAAAGCAGCTTTAAACTGTCTTCGTTTGTTATGTGGTGGCCCATGCATCCAAGCTTTCTGTGGTAATATTATTTGAAGTGATTGATAGTTGAAATGTACTGTGCTTTATATGAAGTTTTGATTTTTCATAATGGTGCCTATTTACTAAATACTGTACTATACCACAAGATAACTCACCTTTTGTCCTTTATTTTCAGAATGTAAACTTGCCAGGACAGGACCTCCAGCCACAATTGTAGCAATTGATGAAGAAAGTCCAAATGGTATGTACATCCTTCTTGGCATTTTTAACAAGTGTTGAATTCATATGAGAAATAAGTTAATTAGCCTAAAAGATGAAGAAAAAATACAACAATATCTGTAAAGTTAATTGTCACCATTCTTTTCGAGAAAAATCTTTTTTAATCCACAACAATGTTTTTGTTATTCCCTATTTTTAATATAAATAAGATAGATACTGTATGTTTATTTTCACATAGAAATATAAGTAGATCAACATACCTCTGAAATAAAAGCATGTCAAATTGCTATTGTCCCACTCAGGTTTCATTTTTCATGTTCCTTGGTTGAATAGGTACAGAAGCACATTGCTGCCACCAAGGAAAACTAAATCCAATTATTTTGTGATTATGAGTTAACAGATTATCTCGTCATTACGAGATAGCAACGATCATATGTGTGTTTGAACAACCTGTTACATTTGCAATGACAGTACCATTAAGCTATCGATAGGTTAGCTGGCACTGTGGGTTTAGCATTTAGTTGTTCATATACTGTACACATATGAACGTTGCTATCTTGTAATTACAAAATAATCTGTTAACTGTCGTAAATTAGATAATTACGAGATTTGTTTTTTGGTGGCAGCAATTCGCTTCCATAAATAGGATAGTTTGATTTCATTTGATTCGAATGCAGTATGATCGCCAATCCAAGTATTGAGAGCGGAGCCTTCAGATTCAGAGAGAACATGGAGGGATTTCATCCTTGTAACAATCTAACTCTCTGTGGTTTACATTTAAATTAATCCTTCCTATCTGCTTTTAACAAAGAGAGGGGCACTGTGTCCTATGCAGCTATTGTTTATATTCACAATACCTAGATTGCAGTAGTTTTCATTGTATAGTATTTGTGTTTACTTAATATACGGTGGTCCTATACTGTAGACCTGTTAGACAAATAATAACTACTAAATAATAATAAATAATACACTAAATAATAGGTACAACTGAATTCTATTTCTAGAAAAAACGTTGTCTGCATCTGTAACCCTGAACACAATTACCTGTATAGATCCAACACAACAATCATGGTTTCATAAGAAAATAACATTCCAAAATATCGAAAAAAGGTTAAAATATTGGCATATTTTATACTGGATGTAATATAGCCTAGTGGTTACAATAACAGAATGTGTTTATTTTCTATTATGCATTTTAATGGCTACTTAGCATTGATATTGGGAATTTCCTATGAATCATCAGTGTTCAAATCTTTGTGGTACCTACAGTAAAACACTATAAAAAATCTAGTATATTTTTTACTTTTGTTATTGTCTAGTATGCATCACATTTTACAATAATATAACCACTGAAAATCAAATAATTGTGAACCTTTTAAAATATACTGAGTGAGACAATACACTCTTTCTCGAAATAGTTTTGAAGCAGAATTTGCAGTTATGAATGGTCTTTGTATGAGGAAAAGGGGCATAATATAAAACAAAAAGTCTGAATATTGAGCCTTATTGTTTTTCTCAGTTGGAGAAATGTATTAGAGTGTATGGCTATATTAAAAACCAACTTGAGATCCAGGAAGAGTGAAATTAAATCTTAAATGTTGTGTTAATTAAATAATGCTGAAGCCTGTCACTGCATTTTCTCTTTTCTGTTTATGTTCCTCTGTGCTTCTACATGTGTGCGTGGCAGGGTGTTCTATCTTCACAGAGTCTCCCATGGTCCTTCACGCACAGAGGGAAGCTCCTACATTACAGATGGTGTTCAGTGTAGGACAGCAGCAGGGGGGCCCATTATGAAATAGATACTTTTCCTTTGTGGATTGAAATGGTGTTTTACTCAGAAACATTAACAGCTTGCATCGGCCAAACCTGTAATTGTGGCTGAATATTAGTGATGCATTTGACAGGTGTGAGCGGTGGTTAGCAGTCATGCATTTCCCCTTGCAAATAAACATTCAGTCCACAATTCTGTAATGATACTGCACTCATGGGTTTATCTTGCTATGCTTGTTCCTGTTTTAGCTACATCTGTGTGTTGGAAAGGTAGTGCTCGCAATTAACAGGTGGATAAGCAGGACTGTAGTCCCTGCAGATATTTTCATAATAGGTTAAAGTAGTTTAATGACTTGCAATAGCAGAAGATGGATATTTTTGTTTTGTACTCTGCTTCACTTAATTGCTTTATATTTTGTTTTTCTATCTCTCGCTAAAATTGTTCTTTTTTTCAGATTTCCTATGGGCTCTATACATATTATACACTGCAGCTGCGATTAATATTTAAGAACCATATTAATTTGCATTTCTTTAAAGCCATTTAGTTTTTTTGTGTAGTGAAAATATGTGAAAGGCTGCAGCTGTTGTGTTAGTAAATGCAACACCGGCTGCTATTACTTCTATTAATCCAATCGGACTGCAGAAGGTGCCTACTTGTTCAGCTCCCTGTTTTCCAATTTGCCAGAAATACATTACCTCATCAACTAGAAATTAAAATGCAGGAAGTTATACAACCTGTTATTACTTTGATATGTATTACCATGTGAATGAAGGTGTGGATTTGTTGCTTTATTTTTAGAACCTCCTTTGGCACCGCACTGGTTTTCAGTGTTACAGATTTGCCTTTCCTCTTAGAAGCTCCATCTCCCAGATTTTATTGTTCCTCTCATATGTCTTGAATATGATACTGAAGCTGCATTAATGGGCAATTTTTCCCAGAAATAATTAAGACATATTATGCTTTTATGGAATGCAATTGCAGTCGGAAAAGAAATCCCTTTTTATGATTATTTCCATGTTATTTTCTTTTATTTTTTCTCTCCTCTTTTAATTTCCTTTCTCGCTTTTGTTGGGGCATCTTTTAATGTTCCATTCAAGATTATTTAGAAAACAGGGTGTTTTATTTACACTAATAAACACTTCTTGCCTTTTGTTAATAAGCTTATGGATGCACACTGTTTCGTTTTTTTCCCGGATTTGTGTTAATCCAGTCATTTAATTGGGATATTGGTCTCTGGTGACTATTTAGTCTGGCTTTTTCTTGTTTCAATGCCTTAGCATTTAAGCTAGATATACAGTAGAAGTGTGAACTAATTCCTACTAACCAAAGATCTTCTGGAGAAAATCCAAGTAAAATTGATGTAGGTATGCTTTCTTGGTGTTGTTGCTTTGATTTTGTAGTCAAATGTAAAAAGAAATAAAAACAAAACAGAATAACATATAACCACATCCCCAACCCCATCACTGCGTCCACCAATTCAAGTTTCCAACCAGAAGTCCCTGATGGGATAAGCAAGGATCTGAAAGGATTCCAAAGTAAGGGAGATAATTCTGAAAAAATATATTAAAATATCATCGTATTAATTTTTTGTAATGAATACAAATTATATTAATTATCTTAAACATTAATTAAAATAATAAATATGTTAACAAGAAGACAATCATTGTGTTAATAATATTCTTAAATTATATTGATAATTATTTTGATGAATAAATAGAAATAATAATGTAAATATTATTGGTTATATTGTATTGTTAATTGTTAAGTATAATGTATTATAAATAATTATTTTGTTAATTATTTTAAATTATGAACTATTATAAAATAATTAAGGAAAATAAGAGAGTGAGCACTGTGTTTTCCAGGACATTGTGATATTTTCCACCTGATAAAAATGCAGTTTGTCTTATTTAGCCAAGAAATACGCCAAGAAAGAAGTAGGCTGTTTGGCTGAAAGGTTAAATACACACCATATATCTACCACACCCCGGATGAGACACACAATTTCTCAGTGCTGTAGATGCCACTCTGGGCATTAGTCTCCTTTGATTTCTATCTGTCAGTGATTTATGACAACATGCGTATCTCCACATAACAATAACAACTCAGCAAGTTCCTGCAGGAATTTGGCAAGCAGTTTGAAAACATACAGTTCAAACTTTACAGGGGCATAAGATGAGACCAAAGCTTCTTTACCTGAAAAATCAGGTTTTCTAATAGACAGCCTATTGGAACACCCTTGATCCCAATATACTGTACAAGAGTGAAAATCACTTCTTAATACAATCAAAAGACCCTTTTTCTCCACAGAAGAGGAGAGTGCTATGTAATAGTTCTTACAATGAAATCTACAAACATTGTATTGTTTCAAATGAGACTCCTGTGTCACAGCAGCTATTTTTTCTTTGCCACACATTTAAACAGCTAGCACACTTGGTAGGAGAATTTAGTTTGCATATGGATTCATTAGTCATTAGAGATCACAACTAATGCCTAACTGAGGGGATAGATATACACCATAGTCGCTTAGCCTAAATGGACAGACAGACATAATAACAGTGATAGGAATAATTTCCTCTGACCTACTCCATAACAGAGTATCATCCCCATCATGACCTCATCACTCCCCCTTCCATACAACATTATGCCCCCTCTTACAATAGTCAAAAACAGCAAAGCAAAAAAATCCCCCTGTAGGAACAAGGATCTAAATTATTAGTAATAAGATAACTACAAATATCCTGGATGCATGAAATATCCTTTCTAACAGGCCATGTGAAAACAGAATTAATCATTTATCCAAATAAATGCAGGGATGTCATTTGTCACTCTATATGAAACAATAAACACTTAAAAACCTCTGAGATCTCAGCTTGATATGACATGACCGAAAGTCTCTCCCCAATATTAAGTGCAATACCAAAAGAAAATCAGGTCTGATCTTACCCACACACAGTCAGAAATAGGTCCTGGAAAAATACACTTGAGAGCTATTGAACTCCTTTGCATCTTCCGCTGACATAAACAGATGCTGGCCATCAAGACACTGAACACCTCAGGGTACAATGAGAATAATTTGCTCACTCCTGCAAATGCACACTTTTGCTGGGCAGTTGGTGGGTATTATCAATCAATCAATCAAAGTTTATTCATCAACTGCACAACAAAACAGCGTGCAGCAGTAATTGCTGGCAATGAAATGACTTTTCTGCGAGCTCATCAAGGGAGAATAAAAATAAAAATCACAAAAT